CCCTCTCTTCTGGACTCAAAGTCTCAGGAGAAGAGGGTCATATTTGTCTATTTTTTTTGGTGAGGGATGAAACAGATAGATGGGGGTTGTATAGATAAGACATAATAAAACCAAGGTTGAATTTAAAAAAGTTACTCTGTCACTAACCCTAATGCAGCTAGAGGCATTATTCCTGGACCCACTCTGTGGACACAGGAACTGAGATCTGACAAGACTCTAACTGATGTCAGCACAGGCCCAAGTAAGGCTGAATCCCCTCTGATGAGAGCTCCAGCAGGAACAAAGGGTTGTGACAACAAACTACACCTTTGGCAGTAGATGACCAAAAGTTTGCCACAGCACCGTACTCTTATCTAGGTATAAAGCCCCATGTGGGAGCAACTTGGGAGAAAATCTATAAAACCAACTCTGCAATCGCAAACAGGGAGAACTTTCCACTCTGGGAGACCTTCAGGGAGACCATTCCCAGACTTGAGATGTGTACTTCCAGCAACCTCTTTCCTTACTCATAATCTCTAAACGAAATTTTTACGTCACTATTCATCTCTTCCCGAGATTCTTTTCTGTGCAGAAAAGACAACGAACCTGACTTCCCTTTTTAACAAAAAGCAATTCCTCATGCCAGTTTCTAGTCACAGCTCCTTAAGAGATTGGTGGCAGGGATCACATCCCATGCTGTGTAGAACAAGTGGATTTCAGGTGCAGCTTCACAGCTGCCACATGGGACTAGTGAAACACCAGGTTTGTACTGTGCAGGGACTCATAACATACTTTTATCAGTCCTAGATTTCCCCAACCACTTCCTGGAGACTCATGTAGGTAGACAAGAAGCTGATATATTTCTCTGTTTTCCCCTCTTCTCCTAAGTCACCAGCAACAGGACCATCTCCCAAGCAATACTTAATTACAAAATAGGGTTATAATCTTTGTAAAATTATGACCCAGAATATGATAAAAATGATATACCTAGTACAGAGGTGACATGCTCAATAAATATCAGGCAGTTTTTTTTTGTTTTGAAAAGGTAGGGTCCCTTCCCCAGCAGTGCTCAGGGAGCCCTTGTTTGTTTTATTTTTAATAATGAGAGACTCAACATAGGAAAGGTTTAATGAATTTACCAAGAGGTACAGTTATCAAATTAGAGAACTTGACTCCGAGCAAGGATTTCCCTAACTCAGTTTCACTGTTATTTCCAAAAGAGAGCTGATGAAAAGTTTAATCTATTGAGAGTTGGAAACTCCCTTTATTTGTCAGAAATCTTTGCAGAGATTTGAGTGAGCAGAGAAGGGATCATGAGTGAATGTTTAAAGGTGGTGAAACATCTGGGATAAAATTTCAAATCAAGGTGTTTAGCAGTTAGCACCTGGAGTGCATGAAAGCCAAACCTGTGGTCATGCAGAAAATGTCACTGTCACCTAGATGTTCCTCACCCATTCTCCTAATAGCACTTTGGGCCAAGCGCATGAGAGCAATGTGCACTTATTTTTAGTATTTTTGGTTATTTATAGAGAGACTATTTTATCTTCTGAGTTCCTTGAAGCAGATATTTACTTAGAGCAAACAAAATGTGTTGCAAGGTTTCCTGGGTTCCTATATGACTGAGACACTCATGATCTCTTTAAGAGCTCATTTAAGCAAAAGAGCTTGGGGTTTGAGTTGCAGTGCTTTCTCTCCCAACCCACTGGGATTTCTTTTCCCACCCCGGGAAGTGAGGAGTGGAAGGTGACTGAGCAGATGGAGGCAGAGGTGAGGAAGAAGAGGACAGAGGGTAGATCAGTATTAGCGTTTTCTTTGTTGGTTGGTTTGGGGAAGGGATTTAGGCCCTACACATTTGTACATAGGGACTACTCCTGGTTCTGTGCTCAGGGGTCACTCCTAGAGGTGCTCAGAAAGACCCATAAGCAATGCCAGGGACTGAACTGGGGCTGGTCACAAGCAATGCAAGTGCCTTTCCGCTAGACTGTCTCTCTGGCCCATTGACCAGTATTTGTAACTTCCACTAGTTTCAGGAACTGTGAGTAAACGTCAATGGGACATTTGAAGCGAAGGGCGTTGTTGGTTGGGCTTAGACAGTGCAGCTTCAGAGCTCACTGAGCACACTGGCTGTATCCAGCGCTGGTGCCCTTTTCTGTAGAGAGCACAGTCACTGGGCCTGGCTGGACTGTGCAGTTCAGTGGCATTCTTGCTGTTTACACCAACAGTGGTCATTATGAGGAAACAGACTTTTAACGAGCAAGCAAGAGCAGGACTAGATTCTAATCACTTTTTTTTTCTTTTTGGGTTACACTCAGCGATGCGATGCACAGGGGTTACTCCTGGCTCTGCACTCAGGAATTAGTCCTGGCGGTGCTCGGGGGACCACATGGGATGCTGGGAATTGAACTTAGGTGCAAGGCAAACACCCTACCCGCTGTGCTATCGCTCCAGCCCCTCTAATCACTTTTTGAGAAATAACTACCACTTCTTGGCATAAAGAAGACGCTTCTTGGGAGAGGTAGCATGCTGTGGGGGAAAGATTATGAATCAACCATTTGGGGAATTTGTGTTTATATGAGTTCTCTGGATCCACCAGGGACGCATAGTATTAAAAACGATTAAATTATTTATTATCAGGCCGGTTGTTACTTGCTGCACTTTTTAATAGTGAATCACTGACTTTTTAAAAAGGGTAAGAATTCAAATAGATTCAGTTCAACTGCAATTAGTAATCACTTGTTTGTTACTTATTTGAGATTACTTCAATTAAAGTATTTCTGCTGTTATTGAAATTTAGTGTCCTCATTGCACCATATTTGATGTCATGTCACTTCATTGTACCACTTATTACTTGGTACTTATTAAGTAATTACTTAATTACCTGACTCTAAGCTAGGCTGTTTTCACTTGGGGCGCCCCAGAGGGGGGCACGTGAGAGCCCTCCCCACCCCAAGGGACGCAGCCCTGGCAGCCGACCTCCACTACCTATCTGCCGTCACGCTCCAGGCTGCTTTCCACATGGTCAGACCAAACCTCACATGAGTGAACATATTCCTGGACACATCATAAGACACTCCCTATCCATTTTCCATAATCACCACACCATCTTTGATGGAGTCCAGACAGTTGGTAACAAATCATAGAGGGAAATATATGTCCCCCCAGAGAGTTTGGCAAGCTACCAAGAGTATCCTGCCCGCACAGCAGAGCCTGGCAAACTCCCTGTGTGTATTCAATATGTCCAAAACAGTAATAATAACATGTCTCATTCCCTGACCCTGAAAGAGTCTCCAATACGTTGGGAAAGACGAATAAGGAGAGGATGCTAAAATCTGAGGGCTGGGATGAATGGAGATGTTACTGACACCCACTCGAGTAAATCGAAGAACAACGGGATGACAGTGATACAGCGATACTTTTTGCTTAATAAGTGACATAGATTAAAATGGTAAATGATAAACAATAAAGTTATACTCCTTGAACAGAAGAGAATAAATAATTTTTTTAAAATATTTTATGCAGGGACTGGAGTGATAGCACAGTGGGTAGGGTGTTTGCCTTGCACGCAGCCTACCTGGGTTCGATTCCCAGCATCCCATATGGTCCTCTGAGCACCACCAGGGGGTATATCCTGAGTGCAGAGCCAGGAGTGACCCCTGTGCATTGCTGGGTGTGACCCAAAAAGCAAAAAATAAAGAAACCAAAAATCTTTTATGCAGGAAGACCAAATGGATGACTTGAATACTTAAGCAAGTATTTGCCTCTTAAGCAAGTTGAGATTATTCTCTCTCTGGGAGCCATTGGTATAATAATAAAATTAACATATATTGGGTATGTTAATATTTAAGTATGTAATATTTAAGTTAATGTTTAAGTATTGGGTATGTTAATATTTATTTAAGTCCAGAAAGTGAAAGAACAAAGAGGTGCTGGAGAACTGTACAGAGGCACAGATGCTTGCCTGCACATGGGTGGCCTGGGTTTGATCCCTAGAGCACTGCCGTGAGTGATTTCTGAGTACAGAGCCAGAAATAAGTACTGAGCACTGCTGGGTATAGCAAATAAATAAATAAATAAACAAATAAGGAAAAGAAAAGGAAAGGAACCAATGAACAGGATTACACAGGGAAGAAATATATTATCACAAAACTAAAATCTGCAAAGAATTATCACTGACACCAGCCACTTAGGACATAGATAAGGTCCTTTTCCCCCCTTCAGTTTCTTTTAATATGCAACCTAAAGATTATCATACCAGATTAAATAGTCACATTGCTGCTCAAATTTGAACTATTGCATCACTTGATAGACCGTGTGCAGGAAAATGTGGCTCTGATAGAATAGTCAATGGACTGTAGTCGCGGCTTATTTGCAGTGCACTAGCTCTGTTCACATGTGCATGAGGTTCTGGGCTCAACTTACAGCACCAAAGGTCACCCAAGCACAACCAGGAGCAACCCTGAGCACTAAACCCAGAGTAGCCACTCAGCATGGCTGGGTATCGACCAAAAGAAAAAAGGAAAAAACCCAAAAACTTGTTTTCCACAATTTTTATCACCAAATTTTTCATGCATGCGGAGTCAATCAGTTTTATTCCCCAATCATCCTAACAGTTCATTTATTTTTTAAAATAGTATCGACTCACTATGTTGAATTATATGGGTGCATGTATTTTATCTATCGTTCCAATATAACTAGATACTTAAAATAATTTCCTGTTTTTCAGATGTAATCCTATTTTGTCCTTTTTAGAATGAAGAACACATTTCCATTATGTATGATAAATAGCTTAAAACTCTGGCACAGAAGCAGTTGTCTGGAAAACTGTTGTTATCTGGATCAGTAGGGAATGTGGTAGATGTTTCTCATCGATTTGGGATGTTTAGCAAATGAAAAGATTAGACTAAAGTTAGGAGATTATTAGGAATATTCCTTGGGTAAAAAATTATTTTTGACAGAATCATGATAAAAGAGATGCATTTCAAAACATTTTGCTTTTATGAAATTATGTAATATTAAGTCACCTGAGCATAGTCTGAACAACCAGGAAGACCACTGATGAAGTTGTACACATCACTCACTGTCCATTTCTGAATATCTTCATCCAGAGACAAATTTTCACTGATTGTAACCAGTGCATGTGTACCTTTAAAGTAGAAAATAAATTATTTTGTGGCGTACAATTTCCAGGGAAAAATGAGGAAGTTAAGAGAATAGTCTCATGCAAAGATACATTACTTTACTCATTATATAAACCAATGTACGCTCTTTTTTAAAAAAATGGAGCGACTGTGTGCTGAAAGTGGGCAAAGGACCAAACATGATGGCCTCTCAGTATCTGTACTGCAATATTGAGAAGTAAAGGACCTGCCATAGAGGCAGGCTTGGAGGTGGGTTGGGGTGTGGCAGGAGGGATGTGGGGAATATTGGTGATGGTAAATGTACATGGGTGGAGGGGTGGGTGTTGGAACACTATGACAAAACTGTATCTCCATAAACAAATTAATTAAAAAATGGAGTGAGAGACGCTTTCTAATAGCTCTTTTTTTCGTTTATTCTGCTAGTAAAGTAAGTAAGTAAAGGCCCTCCCGTTGATCGTCGATTTGCTCGAGCGGGCCCAGTAACGTCTCCATTGGAGACTTTGTTGTTACTGTGTCTGGCATATCGAATACTCTCGGTAGCTTGCCGGGCTCTCCGAGAGGGACGGAGGAATCGAACTCGGGTCGGCCATGTTGGCCGCTTGTAAGGCGAAAGCCCTACCCGCTGTGCTATCGCTCCAGCGATATTTAAAATTCTGCTAAAGAATTTTAAATGTCTGATAGTAATAATTATAAGTAAACAAATATATATGTATATTATGTTTTGTGGGCTAGAGCCATAGCACATCAGTAGGGCGGTTGCCTTGCAAGTGGCCAACGTGGCCAAACCGAGTTCGATTCCTCTGCCCCTCTTGGAGAGCCCGGCCAGCTACAGAGAGTATCTCACCTATACGGCAAAGCCTGGCAAGCTACCCGTGACATATTCAATATGCCAAACGCAGTAACAATTGTCACAATGCAGACATTACTGGGCCCACTCGAGCAAATCGATGAACAGCGGGAGGACAGTGACAGAGACAGTTACGTTTCACAATTTCAAATTCATTGCCATATTGTAAAATGTTCCCAAATTGCTCTAAACTCCCTCAGATATCAATAGAAGTGCCCTGGGAATTCCATTCTTCAGATTAACACTCATGTTTTATGACTATTAAGTGCTTTATTACCACTCTCTATGCAATATGTATGAATTTAGCTAAATCTTCATGAACATGACAAGTGAGCACTTAGTAAAGAAAGCAACTGGGCTGGTGGCTAGTTTAGACACTGCCCCCAATCCCTGTACTTAAAAATGTATATATCTAAAGATGGTTCTAGAAAATAATTCAGTGTGCATTTTTTGGAAGGTAGTGCAGTTTAGGTTAGATGCCATTCTAATAACCACTGGAGCGATAGCACAGCGGGTAGGGCGTTTGCACGCGGCCAACATGGCCGACCAGAGTTCGATTCCTCCGCCCCTCTCGGAGATCCCGGAGAGCTACCGAGAGTATGCCAGACACAGTAACAACAAAGTCTCCAACGGAGACGTTACTGGGCCCGCTCGAGCAAATCGATGATCAACGGGAGGGCCTTTACCTTTACCTTTACCTTTACTAAAAGTGAATGCTTCTGTTTAATTTGTCTACACTTTAGCACGAGAAAGATAAAATTAAGAATTTTAAGCGAGAATTCCTACAATTTGTATTTAAGAAATTAGCAGCAAATTAGATTTAACATTTCACTGAAAATAAAGATAAGTTTCCATATCCTTTCTCATACCTTTCTTGATTTTTACTGAAAATTCTTGATAAAGGTAAAAGCTAGCTTTATTGATATAAATCTTTGTAACTAACATAAGAATGACTTTCAGAAATAGAAATTCTAAATTTAGTTAAAGAAAAGACAGATCACTATATAGTTACCTCAATACTTTACGAGTCGTGGTTCATGAGGCTCAATTAACCATCAGATACCCACCTGGTAGAGAAGATGGAGCTGGAGGACCAGTTTCATTCCTCTCGCTGCAGGCTGCTAGAGTCTGCTCTGAGAGCCTATCTTTCCCACCGGTCCAGGCCTTTGCTTCCAGCAGAGGGTCACGAGAATCCCAAGGGTTTCTATCCAAGGACTCAGCTTTTCCACAAGTGTTGACACAAGGTACTGTTGGTTTTTCATTAGCTTCATTTGATTTCTGGTTGTTGAGAATTTCAAGCTCGATGCCTTTTGCATACTCATCCTCTTCATGGGGATTTGTGTGTGCCTGGTCAAAGTGGCTGTCTTCTGCTTGACTTTTGGAACTCTGAGTATCACCATATAGAACTTTGGGGTTTCCGGTGCCTCTCCTGAGACGACGACATTTCTGTCCCCAGCTCTCTAGATAGTTTGGAGCACTTGCCGAGAGCATAGGATTTCCCTGAAGGTTTCTCAGGGCATTTCTGGGAAAATGCAGGTCACTGGTAGGGAGCATACTTCTGCAGGGGTAGGCAGCTGGACCAGCAGGGACGCAGGAGCCATAAAATAGTGGTAACCCAAGGCCACCTATTCTTTTGGAATTAACTTTCTCTGTTCTCCTTTTCTGGTAAATGGCATGCATTTCCATTTCCATCCTGAAAATACAACATAGTTATATTATCTAAAAAAAAAAGTGAGAATTTGCTTTTAATGTAATTTAATTTAATGTAATTTATTTTAAAGCCCTCCAAATACAGCGGTAGGGTGTTTGCCTTGCGTGCTGCCAGCCTGGCTGAGCCGGGTTCGATTCCTCTGACCCTCTCAGAGAGCTGGCAAGCTACTGAGAGTGTCTTGCCAGCACGGCAAAGCCTGGCAAGCTACCTGTGATGTATTTGATATGCCAAACACAGTAACAAGTGTCACAATGGAGACGTTACTGGACCTGCTCGAGCAAATCGATGAACAACGGGAGGACAGTGCTACAGTGTTACAGTCCTCCAAATATAATTTCAATGACCACAATCTTCCCTAAGGTAGCACCTCTGCTTTTTGGTAAGAGTCTTCACAAAACTTACCTGGTTTGTAAGGTAAGAGTCCTCATACTAGTCACCTGGTTTGTAAGGTAAGAGTCCTCATACTACTTACCTGGTTTTCTCTTCCCCCAACCCAGAACTTGAAATGTAATTTGGCATGAAAGGCTTGGATGACTCACCATGGAGGTCCACAGCCAGTTTTAAGAGCATAGCTTCTCACAGATATGGCAACTTTAGTAAGAATGGAGAAATGTAGCACAAGGGTTTTTAGTCAAAAACTACCTATCAAAGAAAGTAAAATTCTGAAAAGCTTGTTTGTTTTTAATCTTGCACTGAAATCTTAGTGGTACTCAAAGAGGGATAAAAGTCAATGCAAATCTCAACTGTTACAACTGATACAAATTAATGTAAGTGGAAGGGCTTGGTGAGTATTTAAGTTTACTTTATTGGCCATCACTTGGACCCAGTAGAGTCCAGGGATGGTAAAATTGACTCTGATGCCTTCTCTCCTTCTAGGAAATTATAATCATATTTCTTATTGCTGTATTTTATTTCCCTTGATTGCAATGGATGGAAGCCAAAGTTGGGATAATAGGATGCTCCCTGGGCTCTGTTGCCAGAGGTTGAAGGGGCTTTGGCAAACTTGGCGCATATATTGGGGTAGAATCAGAGTTTTTAACAGAAAAATGGTCAGTATAATTTCAAAGGAACACAGCTGGGTATTTTCATTGTGAGGCATTGGCAAACTATTATAATATATGGACTTATCTTCTAAACAAAGTTCTGATTTTATTTTATCCTTAATCAACTAGTGCCCCATGTGTTTATGCATTTCTTTTTGCAATATTTCTGAAAATGTTTCATAGGTATTAAATATACATGTAAACTATAAGTATTTATTTACATATTGTGTATTTTATAAAAAATATATAGATTATAAATATATTACATAAATTATAGCACTGTAGCACTGTCCTCCCGTTGTTCATCGATTTGCTCGTGCGGGCCCACTAACGTCTCCATTGTGAGACTTGTTGTTACTGTGTTTAGCATATCGAATATGTCACGGGGAGCTTGCCAGGCTTTGTCCGGCGGGGGAGATACTCTTGGTAGCTTGTCAGACTCTCTGAGGGGGCGGAGGAATCGAACCCGGCTCAGCTGGGCCAACCCCACGCAAGGCAAACGCCCTACCACTGTGCTATAGCTCCAGCCAACGTAAATCATATTCAGAGTAAATAAATTGTTAGCCTCAGAAAAGGAAATCAGATGGAAGAGATAACTTAAAGGGCTAAGTACATCCTTTGCGAGTGGGAGCCCTGGGTTTTACCCTTTGCACTGCATGACCCCCCTGAGCACTTCCAGAAGTGACCCCTGAGCACTAAACCAGGAGTAGCATCAAAGCACCACCAGATATGGCATCAAACCAAAACAAATAACAAATTAAGAAAAGACAGTCAATCAGCCTGTCAAGCTACAAATGGACTTCATTCAGAAAAATGTAAGAGAAGAACCTGGCAAAGAAAGTGTGTTCTTGGTGACAGCCATGTGCATGGCCTCTTTCATAGGTACCCCTCAAGGCCTCAAAACAAGCAAACAGTGACCAATGTAAGGAATTATGACTTCTGCTGTTTTCTGATCTTCCCATGTGTAGCATCTCTAGCTTCCTGACCCCATTTATTTAGGTTTCTAAATATTAATGTCAACTATATATAATATAATAAAATGTGCGAATACAACAGTCTGAAAATATAATAAATGAGTGCAAATATCAAGCCATCTATGCATATCAATACTTATCACCTATTTATTTAGGTTTCTAAAATATTAATGTCAACTATATATATAATATAATAAAATGTGCGAATACAACAGTCAAAATATAATAAATGAGTGCAAATATCAAGACATCTATGCATATCAATACTTATCACCTATCTAAAAAAAACAAGTCCCAGACCGAAGAATCACTAAAACAACATGGCTACATTACCTGGCAGTGTGCTGCCTCTCAATCATTTCATTCCTTCTGGTCATTGCCTTTAAGGATTCAGGTGGTAAAACGCCCCAACCTTAAAGAGAAAACAACAATCCCATCCCACAAACAAATTAGCAGCACCCATCTAAAAAATCAGATACTATAGAATGATTTAAAATCCTATTTTCAAAAAACAAAAGAAGTAGAACACAATTCTGAAAACAATATCAGTTAATTGCTGAGCATCTTAGTACAGCAATGGCATACTAAACAAAGATAATTTTGGTTTCTGATGTTCTTCTGCCATACTTCAAAAAAAAAAAGAAAAACTGAAACCAAATCGAGTGTGGGTCACTCAATTTCTTTCTTTTAAATTAGAAATTGTACTTTATTTTAATACAAGAAAGGTTAATTGATTTTCAAGAAAAATAAAGTAACTAAATGCTTCTTGGTGCATCAAAGTCCCTGCAAATAAATTCAGTGAATAAAATATGAAATTTTTTCTGCACTGTTTGGTGTATCTAGGGAAAATACTTTTCCTAAAACAATTTCTATGAGTTTGGGCAGCAATTATATTCTTTGTTAGTGTCAATCTTTCAAAAATGTCTTGGAATAATAGCAGCAGCATCAGAAATCAAAACTCAAGCCTCCACAGTAACTTCATGCCACAGTAACGTTTTTTTCTTAATTTATCTGAACACTTTATACCCTTGGAGCCAACACTAGTTTTCCTCAAACCACCTATAGTGGAAGAACATTTTTTTAAATGTTCAGTTTATCATAGGGATCAGTACTTTTAAAATGGAATAAAATAAATTTTTAGAAAATGGAAATGAAAACAAAGAGAACTATAAGCAGAATTAAAAATACATATTAGATTAACAGACTAAAAGTTCCCTAACAAGGTGCTGTAAATTTTTTAATGAATTTATTCACACAAATATTTTATAGAACAAGTCATAGCTATAGACATTGGCAATAACAAACTCATAAATTAAATGTATCTTTTTTGCTTTTTTGTTGTTGCTCACTGACAGTTTTATATGTGTAAATGTGATCTACATAACAGAGGGTAGCTTAATGCTTAAGCATAAGGTTTTTTTTTTTTTTTTTTGGAAGAAGGAACAACTGGCAATGATCAGGGCAATTCTTGGCTCTGCACTCAGGAATTACTTGTAGGGGTCCAGGGGCTCATAGAATCCCTGGGATTGAAACCTGGTTGTCTGAGTGAAAGACAAGCACCCCACCCACTGTACTATCTCTTCTCCAGTCATATAGGCATGAAGTTGTATGTTGTTCTATAAGCTTGAACAACAAACTCCTACTATAGACCCATCCTGAAATAAACATATTCTGTCTTAATAAGATTCTTTGTCATTTGTGAATCTTAGAGGCTCAACGGGGTGACCTCTAAAAATCCTTCTAACTCTGAAGTGCTATATTTTTATAGTTCAGTTGCTTCAAGATATTATTTTTCAGACAGCCAGCATGTATGAAACTAGCAACTCATGGCATACTGCCCAAGTTGGAGAATGTTTACTTGAAAAGTCCTGTGTGATACTCATTTTAATTTCTATTTTGCTAACTTATTTTGCTAACACATTCTATTGACCTGAGTTCTAATTTCCCCTCTATAGATTATTCTTTTACATGTCAAACTGAGAAGAGAGACTTGACCTATGGTCCTGGGAAAGGCTTACAGTAAAACTGCCTGCTTGTAACCAAAATGTTGGTAGTTTCTGAATTCTTCATTGTTAGAGTGATTCATTCAGCAACACAACATTCTCTGGTCTGTTATCTGGTACCTGTAACCCTGGACTATAAATTCACTGAGTTCTTCCTGCCAGATAAGGATCATCTGTTGAGACTGTTTTCTTCAGTCTTTGTACAATTCCATTTGTGTGTCTAGTTTCAAATCTGACCCTAGCTTGGGCATTCAATTTCACTGCAGTAGTCTTAACTGACCTGACACTAACCATAAATATTTTTGTGCAGGACTTTTTACTCACACTGTTCCTATCTAATAAGGGTCATGGGAATTACGGAACAGTTATAAGGAGAAACCCATGAACGTAGTTTTGGAGAGGTGAGATGCATCAGGTAGATCTGCAATATCAAGAAGACATTCTCATGTCCTAGCTCTTAAGCATGCTCAATTATGTTTTTATTGATATCTTGCAGACATGGTTCTCCTTAGGATCACAAATGCCTCCGTAGCTAAGTTGAATTAGAAATTCTTGATCCTAATTTACTTGATCTATGAATGGCAAACTGGACAGTTGTTTACTCTCTTTTCACACCTGTTTTCCAGGTCCTAGAAAGAGAACTCAATGTGTACACACTGCATGGAAGGCCTACGATTCTCCCCAGCACCGCATGGTTCCCTGAGCACAACCTGGAAACAACCCCTGAGCCTCAAGCACTAACTGGTAGTATCCCCTGAACACTACTAGGTGTGACTCAAAAACAAAAGTAGAGCAAAACCAAACAAAACCAAAGAAACAACACTTGGTTTCTAGGCCACCATAGTTTGAATTTCCTCTCATATCAGTTTTTGATTCTTAAATGTCTTCTTTGCTTTGGGGTATGGTGCCACCAGCAGGTCAATCTGTACCTGTCAGGTGAGTGCATCAGCAGCCTAATGGTGTCTTCAGGCTTCTAGATACCCCACAATTGCTGCTGTGCCTTTGGCCAGACCCCAACCTCTTAAGGCCAAGTTTACCAAGAAAGTAAACGGCCAAAAGTTAGGTATGTGGGAGACACACCCACAAACCACCTCCGGCTCAGCTATATAATTGGAGGCAAGGCCTCTCTGGTTCCTGATCAAACTGCTTAATGGCCATAATCCAAGAGACTCAGAAACAAATCTTGGAAACCAGCAGCTTTTGGCAGAAATGTGTTCTGTCCCCGCAGTAGGTTACTGGCACCAGGCCACCCCAGGGGGGAATAGGTTTCATGCCTTGGCCTGTTCCCCCTGGTGACTCAGTGGCCACCATCCTCCAGAAGCCACTGAACAGTCAGGTTTGGGCCCGCAGTGACGCGAGACACATGGGACCTCATGGAATGGGGGTGGAGCTGGCCCTTTCCTCCACGCCCCAACGAGACCCCGATTCGCTGCCCACAAATGACCTCTCTGGCTCCTGATTAAGGTGCTTAACAGCCATGATCCCAGAGACTCAGGAACAAATCTCAGAACCCAGCATGTTTTGGCAGAAATCTCTCTGGATTTAATTGTTAAAATTTCAGAATTCCAAAATCACGCAGCCACTACTATGTTGTGTGACATCATATGTTATTCATAATCAGTAATAGAAAACAAATTGTCTATGGTTGCCTTTTCGGCAGATCTAGTGTTGGGGTAAAAATACTAAATAATAATGGTGGGTCTGGGGTCGAAATATTGAATGTAATCAAAGTAGAGAGAGAGTAATGTGGAAATCATCTGCCCCACAGGTAGGGAGAGGGTGTGGGATGGGGGCTATAGTGGGGTTTTTGGTGGTGGAAAATGGGCACTGGTGAAGGGACAGGTGTTTCATCATTGTGTGACCGAGACTTAAACCCAAAAGCTTTGTAACTGCTCTCACGGTGATTCAATAAATAAGTTTATAAAAAAGAAAAAAAAGTAAGGTGGAGTTCCACGCCCAATTCAATCAGCCTAATCAATGGCTGAATAAATAACAATCCTCCTACATTAAAATAAAAATGAAAGAAAAAAATTCTTCTTTGCTTATTCTTCCTCATCTACTGAATCCTGTTGTTTTAGCTAGGAATTATCCACTTCTATTAACATTCACTCTCAGTAATTTATTCTATCTGAGTAATTTATTCTAACTTATATATGTAAGTTCTTCCTGATTCTCCCTTTGATTATCCATTAAGCATCTCAGATATAATATGAGCAAAATTGAGAAGATATAATTTTTCTCTCTCCTGAAGAACTCTTCTTCACCAAAGCTCTTCCTAAAATTAGTGAACAGCAACTTCAAATTTTTGATTGCTCAGACCAAATCTTTTTATATTATTCTTATCAGTCTTCTATCATTTGTAAACTATGAGAAAAATAGAAGATTACATTTGTTTTTTAAGATTTTGTTTGTTTGGGGGGCAACACCCAGTGGTGCTCAGAGCTTACTCCTGACACTGCACTCTGGGATCACTCCTTGGCAGACTTGGGATACTACATGAAGTTCTGGGGATCAAGTCCAGGTCAGACATATGTAAGGCAAGTGCCCTATCCACTGTACTATCTCTTCAGCTCCTAAACCTCTCCCTCTTTTTAACCTTCAAAGTTGTTGAATTTTTTAAAAACCTTCAAAATTGCTGAATTCAACCACTTCTTACTACACCACCTCCCAGGACCAACCCATGATTTTCTTTGGCCTATTGTGTTTTCCCATGAACTCCAGTAAGTTTATCCCTAAGACTTTGGGCCTATCAAGTTTGTCCCCAACACAAAAGACAGCGCTATCCTGATAAAATGATAACTCACATCCTGTCACTTTTTCTATATTCAAGTCCTCAACTTTTTCCCATCTAACTCAGAATATTGAGCAAATATTTACTTATCCTTTATATGTATAATCCACTGGGTCCTAAATAAACTACTCTAAGCCCCTTTATCGCTCATATCTCATCTTTTCCTGACTTCATCAATTTGTCAGTTTGAAAGGGAAAACAGATAGTAATACTTCAGTCTAGAATGCTATTCACCAGTGCATTGAGAGTTAGAAGTATTAAACAACTTGGTCACACTGTGGTGGAACCATGATGGAGAACTAGGAAGCAATAGCAGAAACTGTTGATGAAACAATGATTATGCATATACTCCTTTGGTTAAATTATTATATTTAAAATACCTATTCAGAGTTAGAGTTTAAAATTGTGAGGGATAATCAGAATCTTCTCCTTCCCTTGTGTGTCAGAAGGAATACCCCCACTCTCAGTTTTGCTTTTAAAATTGATCAGTTCATTTGATGGCTAGCTGAATGCAACCATAGACTCACGGTGGCTCTGTGGAGGAGAATCATCTACATCTCATACCTGAGTAGACGCGACTGGCCAGCATGTTGGGCATATTTGCATTTTGAGAAACAGAGGATCCAAACGGGGATGGAAAACAAAACTGTCTTGGATCCGTTGGAATGGCAGTGGTGGACAACAACAAATCTCTGGGGGGAAAATATAGATAAAAGAGGAATGGAATTATGCAAAATTTCCATTGCACACACAGTGAGGTATATTTTATTGTCATAGATGATTTTATTCATATAGTCCCAAAGTAAAGGTAAAGGTAAAGGCCCTCCCGTTGATCGTCGATTTGCTTGAGCGGGCCCAGTAACGTCTCCATTGGAGACTTTGTTGTTACTGTGTCTGGCATATCAAATACTCTCGGTAGCTTGCCAGGCTCTCCGAGAGGGGTGGAGGAATCGAACTGGGGTCAGCCATGTTGGCCGCTTGTAAGGCGAATGCCCTACCCGCTGTGCTATCGCTCCAGCCCAAAGTAAAGTATTAAATTTCTGAAGCGTCTGTTGGGTTAGGAGAAATATGATAAGGAAGATTAGGGGAGAAAGATGATTTCAGCTGATAACAGAGAAAGCAAAAAATAAAAAGTTTCAGGGAAGTCTATAAAATAAAAGATCTAATTTAATCAATGCCACTCTGATTTTCCATGACATAATGCTGCAGCCACAATTGTTTCTCCTTATTAATGCTGGAGTGGGCAACCAAAATACTGATAATTTTGATTTCTCGAAAAAGAAAGAACTATTCCTTTACAAGTAATCCATTAACTGTATTTGAAGATTGGGTACTTATGGGGTATAATTAAGGATAATCAAAGCCATAAGGACAGAGTCCTAATCTAGAATGATGAAAGTCCCTGTAGGAAGAGGAAGAGATGTCAAATGTGCATGTACACAGAGAAAAGGCCATGTGAGACACAGTGAGAAGATGGCCTTCTAATGGCAGTGAGGAAGTCCTCACCAGAAATCAGTGCCGTGGGCTCCTTGAACTAGGCCTTCAGGCTCCAGAATGTGAGAAATCAACCTTTGTTGTATAAGCCACCCAGCCTATTGTAGAACCCTAGCAAACCAATGTTCACACCTGCATGGTTGCTGTCACACAGAAAGTGCTGGTTAATGCTGCATGATGCTGCTTTCAAAGGAGAGTTGAGATGGGGGAGGGGTCAATAGAATCATTTGATGTGAACGATTGCACCACGTTTCTCTAAAATAACAGACAATGAACTTTACTGCTGTTAACATCATTCTAAAACTTAATGACAATCCCTTTTCTCCTTTGGCTGGAGTGTTTTATTAGGGAGGAATACCTATCCACAGCTGGAGACTCGAAGGATGAGGGGACCAATGGGATCTTCTGCTGTCCAGAGACTGTCATTAAAGGGTTCATGGCCATCATTTGGTTTATCATCAGTGTCTCTTGCCACTGCTGGAGTTCTAAAAAAGAACCAGATAAATACCTTGACAATAATTCCACTTTTTGGGACCTTTGAATTCTTCTTGGTCACAATGGAAATCTTTTGTATTTTCCTAAGTATTAGGAAGAACAGCTACACCAGAATGTTGGTTTTCAAAAACACCTGATACTAATGTAGAGGGCTGGAGTAGGGTGTTTGTCTTGCAGTAGGGAGTTTGTCTTGCACGTGGCCGACTCGGGCCAATTTCTCCATCCCTCTCAGAGAGCCCAGCAAACTACTGAGAGTATCCCGCCCAAACGGCAGAGCCTGGCAAGCTACCTGTGGTGTATTCGAAATGCCAAAAACAGTAACAAGTCTCACAATGGAGATGTTTCTGGTGCCCACTCAAGCAAATTGATGAACAATGAGACGACAGTGCTATAGTGATACTAAATGTAGAACTCTGGGTTTTATCAAAGTGTCCTTAGAATTTGTTGCAGAGTACTTGTACTGAATAATAGAAACAATAAAACAAGCTTTGCAGGATTCCAGAAATATTAGCATTTTTTCCTTATAACTTCTTTTGATTTCTATGTTTTCAGAGGTATAAATGCATGTATTCTCCCCCATGGTAAGTCTTTGAAAAGATATTCCTGGTTTAGTGATAAGAATAAAACAAAACGCACAAATGCAGAAAACTAAATCAAACACTTGGAAACTAAACAACTCAATGTTGAACAATGAATGGCTTGGGAAAGAAATCAAGGAAGAAATAAAAAATACTTGGAAACAAACGAGAACAAAGACACAAGCTATCAGAATCTATGGGATACACCTAACGTCATGTTAAGGGGAAAATTTATAGCGCTGCAAGCTTTCCTCAGGAAGGAGAAAAGGGCCCAGTTAAATGGCTTGACTTCATAGCTCAAGATGTTAGAAAAGGACCAACAAAAAGAGCTCAAACCTGGAGAAGTAAAGAAACAACAAAACTTAGAGCATAAATTAATGATATGGAACCCCCCCCCAAAAAAATCCAAAAGATTAGTGAAACCAAGAGCTGGTTCTTTGAGAAAATAAACAAGATGGATAAACCACTAGAAAGACTCACAAAGAGAGAGAAAGAATCCTAATAAACGGAATCAGAAATGAGAAGGGGACATCACGACAGAAAACAAGGAAATTAAAAACATCATCGGAGATTACTTTGAAAGTCTGTATGCCACGAAATAAGAGAATCTGAAAGAAATGGATAAATTCCTGGATTTCAATAACCTCCCAAGATTGAACCACAAAGACTTGGAATACCTAAACAGACCCATTAATATCAAGGAAATTGAAACTGTAATCAAAAGTCTTCCCAAAAACAAAAGCCCAGGTCCAGATGGATTTACTAGTGAATTCTTCCAAACTTTTAAAGAGGATCTGTTACCAATTCTTCTCAAGCTTTTCCAGGAAATTGAAAAAAACAGGAACTCTCCCAAACAGTTTCTATGAGGCACACATCTCCCTAATACCAAAAGCAAACAAAGACACTACTAACAAAGAAAACTATAGGCCAATATCCCTGAAGAACACAGATGCAAAGGTCCTCAATAAGAAATTAGCAAATAGAATCCAACAACTCATCAAAAAGATCATACACCACGGCTAAGTGGGATTCATCCTGGGGATGCAAGGATGGTTTAGCATTGGAAATCAATCAACATAATCCATCTCATCAACAAAAGAAAAGATAAAAAAAACACATGATTGTATCAATAGATGCAAAGAAAGCATTTAACAGATCCAGCACCCTTTTATGATGAAAACTCTCACCAAAATGGGATTTGAAGGAAACTTCCTCAAGATAGTCAAAGGCATCTGCTACAAACCTATCTCAATCATTGTCCTCAATGGAAAAATCTAAAGGCCTTTCCACTAAGACCAGGGACAAGACAAGGCTGCCTACTCTCAGCACTTCTGTTCAATATAGTACTGGAATTACTTGCAATAGCAGTTAAGCAAGAAAAAGATATTAAGGGCATACACATAGGAAAGGAAGAAATCAAGCTCTCAGTATTCTCAGATGATATGATACTATACCTAGAGAACCCTAAATCCTCTACCAAGAAACTCCTAGAAACAATAGACTTGTACAGTAAAGCCGCAGGCTATAAAATCAATACCCAAAAGTCCATGGCTTTCCTATACGCAAATAATGAGACAGAGGAAAACACGTGGGACTATCTTAAACTAAGAAACTTCTGCACCTCAAAAGAAACAGTGACCAAAATTCAAAGACAATCTACAGACTGGAAACGAATATTCACCCAATACCCATCTGATAAGGGTTTGATACCAAGGATATACAAAGCTTCTTGTGGATGTACTCCACAAGAAGAAAAGATCCAACCCCATCAAAAAATGGGGTGATGACATTGCCTCTTTTGCAAACCACAACACCCAATAAGAGAGAGAACAAAAGGGAATGCCCTGCGACAGAGGGAGGGTGGGATGGGGGGATAGGGGTGGGTGGGAGGGATACTGGGATCCGTGGTGGTGGGAAATGGGCACTGGTGGAGGGATGGGTATTTGATCATTGTGTAATTAAAACCCAAGCACAAAAATTTGTAAGTCTACAACTGTACCTCATGATGTCTCACTAATAAAAGTATAAAATAATGGGATGATGAAATGAACTGAAACTTTGTGAAAGAAGAAATCCAAATGGCTAAAAGGCACTTTAGAAAATGCTCTACATCACTAATCATCAGGGTGATACAGATCAAGACAACAACGAGATATCATCTCACACCACACAGATTGGCCTACATCCAAAAGAATAAAAGCAACTGGTGTTGGCACGGATGTGAGGATAAAGGGACTCTCCTTCACTACTGGTGGGAATGCCGACAGTTCAGCCTTTTAGCAAAACAGTATGGACGATTTTTTAAAAATTACAAATAGCGCTCCCCTTTGACCCAGCAATATGACTCCTGGGAATATATCCCAAAGAGAGAAAAAAGTATAGTCGAAATGACATCTGCACTTGTGTTAATTGCTGCACTGTTTACAGTAGCCAAAATCTGAAACAAAACAAAACAAAACAAAACCCAAGTGCCCAAGAACAGATGACTGGTTAAAGAAACTTTGGTACATCTACACAATGGAATACTATGCAGCTGTTAGAAAAGATGAAGTCATAATATTTGCAAACAAGTGATTCTACATGGAAAGTATCATGCTAAGTGAACTGAGTCAGAAGAAAGGGACAGACATAGAAAGACTGCATTCATCTGTAGAATATACAGTAACAGAATGGGAGACGAACACCCAAGAATAGTTGAGTTAAGTACCAGGAGGTCTGCTCAATGACTTGGAAACCAGCAGCACACACTGGGGGAAAAGCAGCTCAGATAGAGAAGGGAACACCATGTAAAGGGTGTTTGCAGGACTCTCTCGGGATGGGAGATGCATGATGAAAGTAGACTATAGACTATTGATGGCCACTCAATACCTCTTTGGCAAACCACAATACCCTAAAGGAAAGAGAGAGCAAAAGGAAATGTTGGGGACTTGGGGGCGGGTGGGTTCATTGGTGATGGAGAATGGACACTGGTGGAGGGATGGTTACTTGATCATTGTATAACTTAAACCCAAGCATGAAAGTTTGTAAGTCTACAACTGTACCTCATGGTGTTTCACTAGTAAAAACTTAAAAAAAAAAAAAAGAGGGGGGAAATCTTCTTAAGAGCTGAAAGAAAATATTATTAGAGTGAATACAGGCTGACTTTATGAGACTGTATTTAATTAGAATGAGCATCCAAATTGTATCAGGCATATACAAACAGAAGAATTTTAACTTATTTTCAGAAACCAGTCACAAAAAGAGATTGTGATAGGCATTTATCATTATAGGGATTCTATTTTGCAGTAACAAGTCTCACAATGGAGATGTTACTGGTGCTCACTTGAGCAAATCAATGAACAACGGGAGGACAGTGCTATAATTTGCCTTATATTTTCATGTTAATGTAATTTGAATATTAATTTTTTTCAATATTTAATTTTCAATGTTAAACAAGTACTAATTAATTATTCCTCATTTGTCATCTTGAAGATGTCTGAGATACTTACAGTTGTGCTTGAAAAACAAGGGAAATTGGGGAGAAATATTCCACTTTTCAATACAGTGGTCGTCCTTCTTTTTCAAAAAAGAAATATATCTGAATATCATTCTTTAAATAATAAATATATTCATATGCTTAAATGCTAAAATATATACTATTTCAAACAACTTTCACTTTTTAGGCCAAATTTTACCGATCAAATTGGAAAATTTAAGTACCTAGATCTCCCTTATACTCATATATTTTTTTCTCACTTTATTTCATGCATATTTTTTAAAGTTCTGTGTTTCTGTGAAGGCAGTGAGGGTGACCTCTTAGAGTTATGTGGAACAATTAAAATTATAATTAAAATATCAGGTTGGGCACCTGGTTGAAGCAAGAATGCCAACAAAGATAGCTGGCTGGGTGCGCATCAGATGTGAGCTGGCAGTTCTGGTGAGGACAGTGTCCTGTGGTTTGAAATGTCCATTTGTTCGCATGAGATCTGGTCAGAGCCATCTTCTTTCTTTCAGTCCATTAGACAACAGAGCAATGTTGGACACAACCAGACGTTTCATTCAGAAACATTACTGAGTGTGACTTACGTCATGAGCTGATGGTCTCTGGCATAAGCTTGATTGAGAGTCTTTGACATTACAAAATATTGTGTTTCTGTGCACTCCATGTGATGCCCAAACAAACCAGGCAATAATAGAAGATGGGAAAAGGACAAAGACAACCAGGAGAGGTGCAAAGTCCTTCCAGAGTAAATACTCCCTAGGGATTCAGCCCTCCCTCTTTCTCACACATCACCATAGGGCTGTGCTATGGTGATTAGCCACCCTAAGAGACACCAGTGTCTTACTTTGAAATTCCCTCAATTTTTAAAAACAGGATTTAACATACAAGTG